GGAGTTCATGCATAAGGATACCTTTAAAATTTTGTTGGCAAAATGGAGGAGTCCAAAATATATTGCACTCCAGGAAAGAGGTCGGTAAAACCGATCAAAGGGTGATCGTGTGACCCACACAACTGGATGCCTTTCTATTGAGATTCATGAGGATCGACTGGTTAGTAAGATATACTTATATAAAGTCTGGACATATAATTTTTTTTTTTAACCATAAAATGGAAAAGTTATTGATTTTATTGATATTTTAATAGGTAGCTAAAAGAGGAGTTAGACCGACACCTTTAGAGTCGTACTTGTTGACTCACACGACTCGCCGACCTGATGCTCTAGAAGATGCCCCACCTGCTTGGGTATGTCCACAGGCTGAGCAGACATATGTAAGAATCTGATTCTTTTATGATATTAATTTTATTTATTTTTAATGTCATATTGCCATAAAAGAAGTGTCACGCCCCAGAACCCAAATCCGAGGCGCAACAGATGCCGTGCACTCGTGAGACGGGTCTCACAAACGCACAAGGCTCGGAACTTATTCAAATCCCAAACCCTATTCTCACAAAATCTGTTTTAATACCATAAAATTCAAGGTACAATCTATCTTCCAAGAATGATAATGTATTCCATAAATCTATGTCCAACATGACTTAAACTTAAAATCACAAGGTAACATCTATCTTACAAAAACATGATTTATTTCTAAAATTATATGAATCTCGAAATGGCTAGCCTTCTAACTCGTCACTTCCCATGGTTTCCGTGTCTCGAGTCATACTACCTGAAATGGTGGACAAGGGAAAACTCATGAGATAAAATATCTCAATAAGTAAATGTATGGATGGCCCGTGGGTAAAATTTGAGCATTTCAGATAAACAGTTTAAACATAAACGGAATGTTCAATGATGAACCATTAGGCAGAATAAAGTTCAGTAGTAATCAATTAAACTTATAGCATGCCAACAAGTGCAATCAGAAAAACGGATACAAATACGGAAACGAAATAGACGTCTCCTCTATAAGTCACGGCCAGTGTTTAAACCTCCCACTGGCAGGCTACAGAAATTGCTGGTATTTAACCCCTACTAGCAGGATTACAGAAACGAACCAGTTCTATCAGTAACATGTCGACATGTGCTAGTGTTTAACCCCCACTAGTAGGATTACAGAAACATGTGCTAGCGTTTAACCCCCACTAGCGGGATTACGGAAATAACATGACCATATCGGAGACAAAACAGGCAGAAATTAGTAGAAAATCATACTTTACTAATCACTTTCAGATCATCAGGGCAATCAATTAAGTTTCAAGTAGGCATGCTCAATTTAATGAAAAGCATAAAACTTCACTTCAAATCAGTCATACTTACTTTTGCATAAAACGGGTTTAGTCCCGCCACCACTTCAAAAACAAGTCAAAACATCTTTTAAAAACAGTGCGGGCATTACCATAAATTTACTTACCTCACTTGGCATAAACAGGAAACTCGACCCCAGAGTTCTAAGCCACAACAGCACCTAGTGTTCCAAATAAACATGTTCAGACCTCGCTAGAATATTAACACAACATCGCAATTTATGTCAATCTCTCATGACCAAACACCTTTAATTTTATTCTCATATAGAACTAAGCATTTCATCCACTTTATCATTGCCGGCAAAGCCTCAAAATGCAATATTCATTTATTTATTTATTCTTTTCTTCCTTCCGAATTTTAGCATTAATCCGGATTGGGTATACATATACATATAACAATTAACACACACACATTTACATATATTTATAGCTTCCCAAACTCACGGGCAACAATGAAGAGTATGGCTTTTGTTCAATTTTCCATCTTTGACAAAGCAGTAGCTAATCAAGGAAATTTCATAATTTTTGTTGCCACAATTTCCATCTACCATCAATCAATCAGAACAATTTCTCCAGGATAACAAAAATGGCATAAAAACAACTTCAAACAGGAAAGATGATTCCCGGGACAACTACACAAAATTCTACACGAATTAGCAACCCAAAACACATTTTATGCTACCAAATTCTTCCATATTTCTGCAGAAATTCGGACAGCACAACAGAGGGTTTTCGGACAACACAGGGCAGCAACAAATTGATAAAATTCAACAACACAAGGCAGTAATTAATTGATGAAATTTCAAGCTTGGAGGGTTGTTAACTTACCAGAATATTTCCAGCAATAGAAGCCGGATCTGGCGAGCTTGGCAGAGATCGGGAAAGGGGAAGGGATGTCACGGGAGCTACCAAAATTGAAGGGACAAGAGGAAATTAGGTAAACCCAACCTAATTCAAGGTTAAAGAGAGGGATTCATGCTTGAATCTTACCAGAAAAAGACCAGAAATCACGGATAGCAGAGGCCGACGGACAGCAAGGGGAAGAACAGCGCAGATCTGGGATTTTCTGGGTTTAGGAGAGTGTTCTAGGTCCTAAATCTTGTTATTGAACAAGAAAGAAGGAGAATTTCAAGCCCCTTTTT